TTTTATAAAGAAATAGTGTAAGTTAACTTTTGAGGGTAAATTAGACATTAAATTCGCAACCTATATGAAATGTTAAGCACTTATAGACGAGAAAATGATGGTATTACACTCTAAAGTGCGTTAAATGATTTAAGTTGACGAAAAATTGGATAAATAGCTTTGAACATAATAGTAGGGATGAAATTAGCAATTTCTAATGAATTTAGGGACTTATTTTACCGAAAAAATAATTCAAGATCCTAATTTTCACTGAGGTGATAATTCAAAGACTAAATCAGCACTTCATCCTAAGAAATATAAAGGGTCACTGCAGAGTCCAATATGCCATTCAAAAGGAGTATCATATAATCCAGGATCCCAGAAATCATTTTGAGATCAAATAAAGAACCATTTTTGTTCAGATCAAGATCTCAAATCACATCTAACTTTTTCTTTTTCTGTCTTTAATATCCACCCTCTGCAATTCCTTGTAATTTTTTTATGATGAGGTTGATCAAAGTTCGGTACCCGATTCCCTTCATGAGAGTAGTACTTTAACTTTTTCAAAAGTATATTTTAATGAGAAGATCTTCAACAAAATAGAAATTATGGGAGTGATAAGTCCAGCTTAGGACGACAGAAAAATATCTCGCGACTAAGAAAAATTTGATATGCTTGGACACGTAAATGACAATTCAAAGGGTTCAATCAAAATTTAAAATACACAGTTTTGTTCAAAAGAAATGTATGTATATTATACTACATCGATGACGCAAAACTACACCAAGACTCGGTTGGTTTACTATTCTTTCAAGCATAACCACCAAAGTGTATGTCTATCTAATTGATTGGTTTTACTTTGTTGCAAGCCTATAGTTTTATTAAACTCCTGATTTTCTATGTAACCCCTTTCTTTTTTTTTCTTTTTTTTTTTGACAAAATAGTAGTTGATTCTTTAGGGAACTTTTAGTTTAAATATCAAATTCAAAATAACTTTTAAGTTAAAATACCATATTTTAGTTTACATCCTAGTTTAAAAGTCGAACTAATTTACTAGTTAAATGAAAATAATGTCCCACCCTACCATATTTCACTACGTTAATCGCTTAGGGTGAAGGGTACAGTTCCCTGGTTTTAGGCTCCACTCAAGACAAGAAAACTACACCCCAAGCCCTAACCTCCTCCCAAGGACATTCTAAAACCCTAAACCCAAATGATCAACCTCAAACCTTGACAAACCTTCTAAAACGCTAAACAATCATACTCAACCCCAGGCCCTAAGGGACCTTATAAAATCCGTAAAAGAAACAAACTTGAGGGCAAGATATTTTATTTAATCATAGGCTCAAGTACAATAATGTTTGTGGCGTATTCTGAAATACTTAAAAATGGCTTCAATTTTTTTTTACAATATATGCCCAACTTGGTATTTAATATGAATTAACCTTTAACGGAATTTTTGTCTCGAAATTGAAATTTCAAAGTGTAAATCTATACCCATGTTGACAACAACTTTTGAGTATCCCTATAAATAATAACATTCTCTCTCAGCAAATGGAGATCTCAATCTCAGAAGGATAAGTATCACTTGACTGTATATATTCTCATTGGCAAGACGTGTGGGATTCATAAATGCCTTCATTTACTCTATTTTATGGTTTTCGACCCATGCAGTGCACAATATACCTGAAGGAAAATATTCATTCGCCACTAAGAAAATTCAAGATTGTGAAAATTGATGGCTGTGACAAATCCAGATGGGGATGGCGAAATGTTATATGATCCCCACTTTATGCGGCATACAAATATTCAACCTTATCGAAATCAACAAATTAAACCGTATGACATGATCGTTGATGATTGGATTATTACTTAACTGTTGATTAACAAGCTTATTTCCTATTGGTGACATATCACATGATTTACAAAATTGATCTGAAAAATTGGTCTACTTAGCATTACTCTATTTTGTCAAGTGCAAATCGTATATGCTCAATAACTTTTTTTATAATATAGGAGGTCTCTCACGATACATTGATGACAAACTAATATTCCTCCTCATCTAGTTTTGGTACCACATGTCAGACGACATCCAGGTCAAATAGTACACCAAACCAAAGTTGGTGGCCCCAAAAAATACGTCATGGAAGTTCAAACTTGGATTAAGAGTTGGAAACCTTTACTCATCTTCCACTAAACCAACCCTTAGGATTAGTTCAAATTTTGATCCAGCATTTCAATTAAAGATGTAGTTTATCCTGTTTGGTCATTTACGAACTCGTGCATATTTAATCTCATATATGGCGCTTTCATGCACGTAATCGTGAGCATTCATTTAAATGTAGTTTTTCCTTTAAATTAATGCCGAATGGGAAATAATTAAGGACTTCCCATATATTTTTCTGTACTGAAAGTTAATGTCAACAGGCAACTACATTACATGAACACAAGTACTCGTGTGTATGTGATCACTACTTGTGTTCTTTAATTTCATGTATATTTTCCATGCAAGTTATGAGGTTCGAACGCGGTGGGGGTATATGTCAAGGAATTAAGGTTCAAAAACGAAATCATGAAGTTTGATCATCCCGAAGAATATGACATGGAGTTCCTTTTCTTTGCAATCTTCTTGACTTTCTGAGATGGATTTTATCAAAACGGAAATCAATCGAAGTTGGAACTTTCTATCATGCTGACTAGACTCTTATCCCTATGTTGGGGGGATATTATAAAGCAAGCCAGCATCCGGGTCAAGTATCTTATTCGACTGTCCAATAAACAGGCTGGTCTTGAGGATAGTCGGAGGAGGCAGGCTGCTTAAGGCCTTCACTTTTGAGGGGCCTCTAATTTTTATTTTATTATATTACATATAAATTAATATTACGAATTTTATGACTATTCATAAGAAGTTTACAAACTTTGAGTGTTTGGGTTTTTAGAATAGAACTTTACTAGTTATACAAGTTACAATTGCCTCTCCAGAAAGAAGTTTTTTCAAAATTAAAGTTGTTCATATCTTATCTTTGATCAACTATATCACAAGAAAAGACTGAATGAGTTAGCTATTTTATCAATTGAAAAAGAATTGATTTTAAAATTAAATTATGTACACTTAACTAGTACATTTGCGTCTAAAAATACGAGACGTGTTATTTAGGTCAGGTTTGTACATCTTTCTTATTTTGATATTAATTTTTAATGATATATGATGAAGATATAGAGTTTTTTGTTTTTGAGAATTCTTTTTTATACATATCAATGTACAAAGCCGTGATCAAAGAACTCTAAGACGCTACTTCAAAGACTCGATTAGAGCGTCCAAATTTTCAAGGTCGGCCTGGCCAATGAAATGTTAAATATCGTCATTTACTTTTCACTAAGAGTTCTATTCGCAATATATTGATGCTATAATGTTGACAAAGTAATAGTAATACAGATAATATGAAAAACACGTTTATGAAAAATAAAATTAATCTACTTCTCGATATTAGATGGTCTTATATGTCACGTGATTTAGTGCCAAGAGCAACCCATGTCCGGATGGTCATGTAGCTTCAATGAAATATAATAAGCCACATGAATCTTACACAGAGCCACGTGTTCCTTTCATCGGCAACAGTAATGTGACACTTGGCATACGCTAGAGAATCAAATCTTCAGGATGAAAAATGATGCTTGGCTTCTTATTAGGAGGCCCATGGTCGGTCGGATTTTCTAAATAATCAGGAGCTAATTCCAATGGACAAAACCTTCACATGGAAGAAATTTCTACCGTTGAATATGAATAGTCTAATAAGACCTCTCTAGCAATAAAAGACTCCTCTCTCATGTATTTTCTTTCAATACAAAAGAGTGCGGAGTATCAATTACAACTCTCATAATAACGTATATCAGGTTGATCCACTCTCATGTGCAAAGTCAGCATCTTCCAAACCAACAAATAGTGGAGAATGTCAGTTAAACTCAGGATCTATTACAAATAAGATTCTGATATCATGTTAAATTACTACTAAGCCTAAAAGTTTAACCTATCAATGTACCGACAATGTATGTTAAACTTAAACTTATACGTCATCGTAGCATGTCAAGAGGTATGCTGTTGGATCAAACTTAAAAACAAAATGCTGATTTATTTGCATACATATTGTGCGGTGAATCTAACAACCCATGTAGAGCATTTGATGGTACTACTTCTTATGCTAACTCTTTTCAAAATCATCATGCCCTATCTTTTGAAGTGTACCTGGCTATATTTAGTAATATGAGTCATAACTCTGATGGTGGATAAGGACACTGCTCTATCCTGTGAATTTAGGCGACTAATTGTACATATGTTACTAGACGCTACGGTGACGGTATTTTGTGGCATATAAGTTCTCGAGGTTTAGGGCAATGTTAATAAGGGCAGCAAGTGGAGACAACATTAAAAAGGATAACGTTTGACACGTACGTTTGAGGAACATCTATTTTTATCAAGACTGCCATAATTGGCAATGTCCTGGACCATCCAGATCCGACCCCATTTGGATTTTTGGGAGATTGTAGTTGAAAGTTGAAACTAAACACAAATCTCAGCTTCTGTCAGAGCCTCAAAGTTAGCACTCGGGGCATTATATATGTTCACTTAGGATAGGAATATTTTGATCCGTTTTGTGTACTAGATGAGATTGGTCTTAAGTATAGGATTGGATTGGTAGCCCACCATATTTTTCCTATTTCGGATTTGTAGTCAATTCAGTTTATGTTACAATTTTTCTCACCAAACAGATTAACTAAAAATAACTCATCTCATCCTGCCCACCAAACGGGTTGGAGGTTAATCCACACCCTCTTACCTTTTGTAGGAGGAATTGAAGGTCCCCAAATTGTGTATGGCAACACTGCAGATATGATGAATCTCTTGAGCAGCTACTAAAGCGTTTTGAGTTCACATTGAATGTGATAATATTAAAAGAGACTCGAATCATCCCTCCCAAACTCATTAATTTAGGACTCATAATTTGGAAAACGAACACGATTACTTGACTTGAAGATGACACGAAATAAACGGGTTTGAGTTGAACATAATTGCATGATAGGGTTAAATAACAGTTGATCTCGTCAACCTGTTTAACCTGAAAATAACACACTTGAACATGTTTATATTATTTTGTAGCCTGTTAACCTGTATACGACTAGGGGTGCAACTCGGGCAGGTTGGAAGGTCAACCCAATCCTAATCCAACTTTTACAATTCAGGATTGGGTTCAGATTGGATTTCCATCGAGTTCATTTGGGCTTGGGTTTAATTGGGTTGGGTTCAGGTTGCCCAACTCTTTCATAATGTGCCCAAACTTTAGACGGGTTCATATACTCTTTTGCGTTTAGATGGTACCTGAGGTTTAATTGTAGCATTTTGAGGCTCTACAGGAGCAGCTGGCAAAGGCTCTCTTGGAGTAGTCTGATTATGTTTTGCCATATATGACAATCAAATGGACCTGAACAATTAACACATGAAACAAAATATTAACTTATGACAACAAAAATAGCTGATAGGAAGTAACATAAACATATAAGACAGAAATGTCAAAATTTTAATTTAGTTCGTATAGGAACTAGTAATTGAGATTTTATCAGATATGCATGCATGATTACCTAGAACACTTCTTCTTTTTTTTTTTTTTTCTTTTTTTTTTTTTTAAATTTTATAATTCTTTCTTCACTTTCATGTGATTTGGTTCGAAAGAGCTCCCTAATCAAACTTTTAGTGTATATTATATTATATTATGTGATATATATGTATATTATATATATGATTAAACCAATAGGTCCATTGATCAAGGAGAAAAGGCTTACTGTTTTGTATAGGCAGAATGAAAGAGGTAGGCTGAGTTGCTGATCAATTGCTTCTAAACACAAAGAATTTAGGGTTGGAGACTAACAATTTAATATATAGCTTTAGGGTTTAAAGAGTGCAAGTATGGGGCTGACAAATCAAAGCCTTTTATTCTTTTCTTCTTCTTTTTATTTTTTTTAATGAAAAGAAAAGATTTTTTTTCAGGTCGAACCCAAAATCCTTTACAATCAATTAAGAAATCAATTAGGAAAGAAGATGATGAAACGGATTGGATTATGGATTTAAGGGGTAATTTATTAAAAAATTATTAAAAGGATGTGGGTTTTTGGACTTGGCACTTAGGTGTAATATGAGTATTAATTGATATGGGCCACAGTTGGGTTTGGTTAATCGGGCTGGTTTGGGTTAGAGATGGATGAGCAAATAATCAACCCAACTCAACCCAATTAATAAACGGGTTAAAATTGGATTGGATTCGGGCAGGTTATCACTATAAAAAAATCCGCTTGTTCAGGTTTAAAGTTGGGTTAGACATGGACAGATTTAAATTGGTCCAACCCAATTTGCACTCCCATATACGACCCAACACTAGATAAATTATTTAATTGTGTTGGATATTTGGTGGGCTATGGCTAGAAGTTGAAACCCAAATTCAATCCATGTTGAACATTGTTATGCACTACAATGCACTATAAATTGAACCAAACACATAGAGAAAAAAAGTATATCGAACTAAAGCTGCACAATTTATCTCTACATATAGAGGATCAAAGTCTCCTCTCTAAATTGGTATTCAAACTATTCAAAACCACAAGAATTATCAATTGATTAAAAGCATTTTACCTTGCACACGAGGTTCCGAGTTCAAATCTCCTGTTCCCTAATATAAAAATTAGCTAGGCCTTTCTTTCCAAAGCTATAGCTACATCCAACAGTAGGAGAGTTTATGGTGTAGGGCTTTTCTTTTACGGTTTTGTTGTTGTGCCGATGGTAGAGAGTGATATTTGGCAATTAAAGATGTCTAATGTGCGGATTAGAGAAAACGAACTCGAAATTATGAGTACATGGACTATGAGTCAAACTTCCTACTTAATGCAGCCTCAAATGGTGCTAGCCATTTAAAAGAAGAATGCACGCATATAAATAGCCCTAGAGCTCTGAGCTAGTAACTTCCTCTCACCTTTAAACATCCTATGCAGTTACCCCACCAGCTCCTCCACCAAGAAGACAACCTTAAGATGGAAGGTTGTCTTAAAATTGACTAGCTAAACCTAAGGACACTCTAAAATTAAAGGTGAACCCGGGGAGTTGACATGAATTTCAATCCATTGCATCATCCCTTTGAAATGGTCTCACAGGAAATCCCACCTAACACTTACAACCTCGTAACATATATTTTCTATGTTATTCTACATGCATAGGTTCCTGCATCACTGACTACGATCTTCAATCAAAAGATAAAGAAACATAACTGAACTCTGTAACAATGGAAAGTACGTCTAAGATAACCCACACACACGATTAATAATAATTACTAAGTCACTAACATTCTCATAAAGTAAAAAAATAGTTACAACTTCATCCAGATAACTAACTATACAGGAACAGACATGAGTTTATTTTGGGAGAGAAGCATCCGAAATCTGAGAGATCATAATCTAGAAAGAGAAGAAACAGATACAAGGCACAGCTTAGGTCCAACAAGTTGAATAATACTTACCACACTCTACAAGAACTTCTCTATGCTGGTGGTTAATGTAGATTTTGGAACAGCACCAATAACGGCATCTTTCTTCTCGCCACCTTTGAATATGATGACAGTTGGGATGCTTCGAATCCCATATCGGGTTGCAATTGAAGCACTCTCATCAGTGTTAACTTTGTAGCATTTGAGCTTCCCAGCATATTGCTTTGCCAGTTCATCAATTATAGGGTGGATCATACGGCAAGGCCCGCACCACGGAGCCCAGAATTCAACCAAAACAGGGGATTCAGAATCTAGGACAAGTGACTGCCATGTTGCATCACTAACAGCAGCCACTGTAATTTTTAAGAGAACATACTATCAAAAATAAAACTTGTTGAACTACCAAAAACTAATAGACAAATATATGTGAACACAGAACTGCATAACTCATTCTAATACTTCGGACATTGATTACATAGTAAGCAAGAATCAGTCCAAAAGCACCACCTTGTAGATCAAAACTCAATTTTTCTAATAAAAATTTTGATATTTTCTCAACCACTTTTATACTTTCGTTGTACACTCTCATAAGTACAATACTTCTGTTCCATATCTATACATAATTTTGATTACATGTCCGAATTACCCAAGATTCATCCACACATCCCTAGGTTTCTTCTGTCTTTAACGATCGGTCACCACACATTCAATCAACATTTCACCTGAAATCCAACATTCATGTTGGAATTTTTAGTCAGTCACTGTGAATTAAGTCCCTTGACAGTCTCAACCGTGGCTTGTCTTTAGCCACCGAGCAGCAGGTCTATTTCAGCCATCAACCGGCATAACCAAACAATTACAAGTAACCACAACTTGAAATCACCAGATAAAACTTGCCTAAGAATCTAAAGTACATCTTCCAAACCATTTGATTACGCTTCTTAGGTGGGCTCATCCTCGGTTCCTTCTATCTTCCCTTACTAATAATCTAATTTTTACGAGTTAACCCAAGTTTTCAAATGTTTCAAAAACCAATATTTTTCTTCAACAATTTCTTTCCCAATCGATACCTTTCATTTCCCAACTCTTTACAAACAATGCCACCAATATCATCAACTTATACGAGATTCGGAACATGGGTAAAAAGTTTAAAGCCCAATTGATGCAGCTAATAAACAGAGAAAAACAGTTATTTTCTTCGCTAAAAGTTCCACCTTTACTCAATAAACAGTCTAAATCTACCATCTTACAACAATCTCTACACAAAAAAAAATCAAATCCTCTGTTGATTGCTAAGAAACTGAAGGAGAATTAAACAGACAATTTTCCAGGCTCCCAAACACAAAGTTTGAAACTTCAAAATACATAAAAAAAACTTCAAAACAAATAAAAAAATTGAATCCTGACTGGAAGGGAGAGATTACGAGACTGACCTTCGACGGCAGTGTCCTGAGCCTCGCAGACGACGAGCCCGCCACGGCGGCTCGCTCGCCCGGAAGCGGGACCGTAACTCAGCGATCCGACGGAGCGAGTTCGGAAAGCTGATCCGACCTTGAGGCCTCTGCAGCGAGGCAACCGAGGGCCGGCGGACAAGGACGAGAGCGACGAGGGAGCCGGGATCCGAGAGAGCGCGGCAGAAGAAGGGAGAGCGGAGGATCGGGGAACGACGATGGAGTCGAGGACTGTAGCCATGGCCGCAGAGGATCGGAGCTCTGCAGATAGAAAGTAGAGAGAGAGAGAGAGATGATGGAGACGGAGTAGTTGATGGGGATGGCGGAAGCAGCAGCTAGTAGATTGGGGAGAGGAGTGTGGATAGCCAAGGCAATAGATGAGACGATTTACTGGGGGCGAGAGCGGCGATATTCTGATTAGATTCTCCCTGCCTTGTGTAAGGTCACCAATCATACTGTGACACCTCAGCACTAATTATATTTTTATTTTTTTTATAAAAATAATACTTGATAACTAATTTTCTAAATTAAAATTGCAAATTGTGTCACCAATATGAAAAACAAAACTTTAACATTTAAACAATAATCCAATTAAGAACTACGTTATATGGTTTATAAAATATAATTTAAATACATAATCGCTCCAACAGGCGAGCATTACCTTTTTAAAATTAGCTATGATTTTTATATATTTGTGACAGCCCGTCCCAAAAACATTTTAACGTACGTGTGAAAAGACGAAATTGCCCCTAGTTTGATTTCTTTACGTTTAATTGTCGTTGTGAGCTTTGTTGTCATGTGTGGAGCCACACACACAGTCCCACACTTCCCACCTGTCCCTGTCCCTTTCCCTGCGATTTCCCCAAGCCCCATTTCCCTTCCCTTTCACCATAAACGTACGGACACACACACAAGCACACTAAACACTCACAGATCGAAGAAACTAAACCCATATTCGAGCTCATGAGGCTCGTGGGAACCCAACCGTACCAGTTTCAGGTAAGAATATCAACATTTTCACGTCGATTCCACGAAGTCCGATTTTGGGTACTATTCATGCAAACGTAATTTCTCACGTTTTAGGGAAAATGAAGCTTGTAGATAGCTTGATGAGGTCCCAAGGAGGCTCGGAGTAGTTCGTTTGAAGAAATTGGACGTCGGGATCACTGTATTTGGAGTTGGCCGAAGTTGGGTGGTTTGGACAGGTGAGATCTCGTGGTTTTCAACCCTTAAAAGTGGTATATTTGTGTTCTCCTAGGTCTAAGCTTCAATTTGGTAGTAATTTCATGAAATTTGGACGAAAAACGAACGACATATCGAAGTTTGAAAATTTTCCAGTTTTCCGGCGCCGGCGACGTCGCCGGGGAAGGAGACGGAATATTCCGTCAAGTTTGACAGAACATTCCTGACGCCGTTGATGGAATCCGTTAGAACTAACGAAATATTCCTAACGGCGTCAGTTGACGCCGTCAGCGTGCCAGGCACGTGCCTGCGCGTGGCCGGCGCGTGTGGCCGTGCCTTGGCCGGCGCGTGGGGGCGCGTGCGGCGGTGGAAAATTTTTCTAAAAATTTGGGTGTGATCCTGAGGTTGTGTAGAGCACGTTGGTATATTCAATTGTCCAATTTGAGCAATGTATGAGAAGTTATTACGAAAGGAAGGTTATGTGCTTTAAAATTAACGTTTTTATAGTATTTTCGCATATAGGTGAGACGTATCCCGAGGACGAGCGTGGTCACTCGAGGCAGGGGGGCTACGACCCTTCCACTTATCAGTGAGTGGGCTTTTGGTTTTCCGTATATACCTATATACTTATATTTTCCCAGAAATTGAATTAAATGTTTATTAGTTATATGTCATGCATTATATTATCGTCATTTATGCATTATTAGTTGCATTATTGGGCGTATATATTTATATATACATATGCATATTTGGTGCTGTGGACGCACAGGTAAGTGCCAGGTAAGTGTTATTCATGTTTACTTTTAAATGGTGATTCGAAATACTTAGAGAGCTCATAACCTGCACCCCCGGTGTTAGTGCTCCCGCCCAAAGTAGGGCACAGTCCTTCACGTGTTGTTCACCTCCCGCACCACACGCTCAGCTTGGATCCAAGTTAGGTGCACAGTCCTGTCGTACAGACCATTTTAGGTGGTTCCGACTCGTAGGTGACCCGCGATTATTCACACAGCCTTCACGTGATCGTAGCACTAGAGCATTTATATGTATTACACCCAGGCCTGTCGTACAGACCACTTTAGGTGGTTCCGACTCGTGGGCAGGTTTAGTTATTGTGATTGAGATTTGAGCTCTAGATTCAGCCGTACAGGTCACTTTAGGTGACTCTGGCTGCCAGTTATACGTTATTGATATGATTTATACCTGAGCACTTGCATTTCATTATAAGGTTCCGACATGGCATATTCTTGAGCATGTTTGGCATTTCTATATATACGTACGTATGTTTATTTTCTGGGAAGTATACAGGTTTTACGGCGAGGGGTTAGAATCTTGTTTTTGAAATGGTTTTCGAAAAGCTTTGTTTTTGGCCCACTCACGCTTTTGTTTTGCGCCCCTCCAGGTTCTAGCTACCTAGCAGGTTCGGTGGTTTCCCAAAGGGCTTTCCAGGCATTTTTGACAGACGATCACCAGCGTAGGGCCACCTTCGGGTGTACTGTTGTAGCGTCGTTTTAGTTTGGACTGCTTTAGGCTTTCTGCTCTGAACTTGTGTCTCACTTACGCTAGCACTTATTACTTTTATCTTATGTATGCTAGTTTTTATTTATTCGTACTTTTATGTTACTATTTTTTTTAGCTTCCGCACTGTGCACATGGTTACGTCACCTTCGCGTGACGGCCAGCACGCCCTGATCTCGTTCGGGGTGTGTCATATTAGTATTAGTTTTTATCAAAATAAAAAATTGACTTAATATTCAGTTATTAAAAAAATTATAAAAAAGTGATCAAGCACCCACATAGTAGTGGGTGGTTTGTTTGAAAATTTCCAAAATGATACAGTTTAATTTATTATTTTACTCCTAAGTTGTTATATTTTGGTATTCATAACTAGGGAGGGGTATTTTTGGGAATTTAAAAAATCATTATTTTGTGCTCTCAGTTTGTATATATAGGTGTTAAGTTTACTTACATGTTGTGTTTTGTACCATATATTTGAAGTTTTGGCATCTATATTCTAAAATTTGAGAAAACAAATCCTTAATGTGAAGTAAATTTTTACCTTTTGACATAACATTTGTGACATCCCACATCGCCCAGTGAGTGATCCTTAAATGTATATTCTCATCCCTACCTAGTGCGAGGCCTTTTGGGAGCTCACTAGCTTCAGGTTCCACGGGAACTCAGAAGTTAAGCGAGAAGGGGGTTAGAGCAATCTCATGATAGGTGACCCACTGGGAAGTTGCTCGTGAGTTCCCAAAAACAAAACCGTGAGGGCGTGGTTGGGGTCCAAAGAGGACAATATCGTGCTATGGTGGTGAAGCGGGCCCGGGAAGTGGTCCCCCCCCCCGGGCCAGGATGTGACAATTTGGTATCAGAGCCTAACCCTGGCCGCGTGTGTGCCGACGAGGATGTCGGGCCCTTAAGGGGGTGGATTGTGAAATCCCACATCGCTCAGGGGAGTGATCCTTAAATGTATATTCCCATCCCTACCTAGTACGAGGCCTTTTGGGAGCTCACTGACTTCGGGTTCCATAGGAACTCTGAAGTTAAGCGAGAAAGGGGCTAGAGCAATCCCATGATGGGTGACCCATTGGGAAGTTGCTCGTGTGTTCCCAAAAACAAAACCGTGAGGGCGTGATCGGGCCCCAAAGCGGACAATAAGCGGATAATATCGTGCTACGGTGGTGGAGCAGGCCCGGAAAGTGGTCCCCCCGGGCCGGGATGTGACAACACTCATTGTCACATAACGCTAAAATAATAATATCTGGATTAGAAAGGTGCAACATGAACAAGAAATACAAATTTTCTTTAAAAACAAAATTAGTGACTCACGCAAACAAAAGCACCAACTTAGTTTTATTAAAATAACAATTAATTTAATAATTTGACAAAGAGATGATTAACAATTAACAATTAACAATTTATAATTTTACATGTTACTTTTACTAAATCTAAAAAGAAAGAAAAAGAAGAACATGACCCGCCCAAAACCTCCAAAGGTGCAAAATGTGATATAAATAAAATGTAATGGTAGCTATTTCCTTGCGGGTTTGTTGTTCTAGGCATATTTGTGGTAAGCAAAAAGCTAATTTTGCTAAGGACAGTATGGCAGCAATTTAATACTTAAAAATACGTTGGAAAGAGCACCTTGTCTCCGCTTGATCCCTTCACATCATGCTTATTTCAAACGTATTTTGGTGTTGTTATCATATTTACAAAAATTAGAAGTCTGAAAAAATGTGTCATTTCCAACGTTTATTGATTTGTTTTGGTGTTCAATCCAACGGCATGTCTTTTTCTTGATCAATTTCATATATAATATATAAGAGGTGTGCATGAAGAGGAGGAGAGCCATGGAACGGGTTCATTGCTAATGTGGTTTTCGATCAATTATGCATTGTCATATGGAAGATAACATAAACATAACAATGCATCATTGAATTGCCATGCCACATAATGGTGAACCCTTTCAATGTAAGTTTTCTTCAAAAATGAGAGATATCGTTGTCCTTAACACTACTAGGAGATAGAAAACTAATGACATGATAAATTTCATAGTAGAAGTGTTCTTTTAGCTCAAGCGATTAAGGTACCAATGTAGGAAAGAAATTAGATTATTTCATAGGCAATAAAATTAAAAGAAGCAAGCAGCAAGCAAATAAGAAAAGTGATTGGAGAACTGGTAATTCATGTGCCAATAATTTATTTGCTGCTATCATATCCCGAAAGTGGATGTTTTGAATTTTTCGTGTTTTCCATATTGACGCAAGTTTGGTTTGACATGTTTGTTTTGAGCACATAATATTTAGATTTCAAAGAGAGTGATGATATCTACAAGATTAGTTGTCAAACAACAATCTTATAAGGAATTTGAGCGAAAATGTTGTTTAATATACTTAACTCGGATTTTAATATTTTAGGATTTTTTTATTTATATTTTGTTATTTGTTATTTCCTTTCCTATTTAGATGCATAGGGTTTTTAGGGTTAAGAACATTATAAATAAGTCACATTGGCCTTAGTTTTGTGATTTTTCGACTTTAATTCAACAGACATGAATTTCTCTCTTTCTTCATAGTGAATTCTAAGATTTGCGAGTTATTTTCTAGCGAAAAGATTAGTGTTCGATTTTCCTTTATATAAATAAATGTAATGATAGCTATTTT